GCAGTCTTGAAACAAGATCCAAAATTTGAATTGCTTAAGAAACAGCTACGCATTGAAGAGCAGAGTGGTATTTTAAGATGTGTAGGTAGACTATCAAACTCTGATATGGAATTTGAGAGCAAATTTCCTATAATATTGCCAAAGAACCATCATTTCACGGAACTCGTTGTTTTACATGTCCATGCGTTAATGGGGCATGAGGGTCTTCGTATCACTTTAACGGAATTAAGATCTCGGTTTTGGATTACTAAGGGGAGGCAATTCATTAAGAAGCTTATCAAGCCTTGTATAATCTGTAAGAAATTGGAGGGTAAGGCTTATAAGGCACCACCTATGGCACCGTTACCAAATTTTAGAGTACAGGAGTCGCCGCCTTTCAGCAAAGTAGGTGTTGATTTTACTGGACCGTTGTATGTCAAGGGGTTAAAGGGTAAAACACGTAAAACGTATATCACCCTTTTTCATGCTGTGTAACACGTGCTTTACATTTAGAATTGGTGGAAGACCTTACAGCTCAGTCTTTCTTAAGATGCTTAAGACGATTTACTGCTCGAAGAGGTACGCCAGAGTTAATCGTATCCGACAACGCAAAAACTTTTAAGGCAGCAGCCAAGTCTATCAATCGTATATTCAGAAATAAAGATATGCAGCGGGAGTTGGAGTCAAGAAGAATAGAATGGAAATTTAATCTAGAAAGAAGTCCGTGGTGGGGTGGCATGTTTGAACGAATGGTTGGTTTAGTTAAACGTATACTTAGAAAAATTCTTGGCAATGCTCTTTTGAATAAGGATGAAATGCATACTGTTATAGTAGAAGTGGAAGGAATTTTGAATTCTCGACCACTGACGTACATATACGAGGATGATTTTAATGTTGACATACTAACACCGTCTCATTTAATGTTTGGTAGGAGATTATCACCTCTTGCAGATCATATAGAATTTAATTATTCTGATGATGAAACTTCGCATAGTAAACGATTCCTTTATCTAGTTAGGAAATTACAACATTTTTGGAAGAGATGGAGAACCGAATATTTGAGGGAACTACGTGAAAAGCATAATGCTGCTGGAGCCGACAATTGTGACATTCATAAAGGAGACATAGTATTGATAGAGGATGAAAATGTCAAAAGAAGTCAATGGAAGATTGGAAGAATCGAAAGATTAATCGTCGGTAAGGATGGTAAGATACGGGGTGCTTCTGTAGTTAAGATTTGCAAAGGTAAGCGAGATTTACTTAATAGACCAATTACTAAACTTTATCCTTTGGAGATAACAGGGACAAGTGACGAAGTGGGGGATATAGGAAATGGTGACAGTGAAAGAAAGGAAGTACGAAATAGGCCTCGTAGAGCTGCAGCTGCCGACGCGCTATGGCGGACCCGTCTTGTTTTTGACTCGGAGTGAGTCAAGGGGGGAGAGTGTCGCGGAAAGCAGGGAGTTTGCCGCGCAAACGCCTTTCCCACGGTTTACTTGCGTAATTAACCAGCGTGCTATTAATCAAGGTCGTTTTTTCAGTATTCTTACTGTTTCTTTTGTCTCGTAATAGATCAACATAGGTTTAATCGTTAACACATTTATTGTTGGTAATATCTTTTGTATTTGCCGCTTGGTTAATTGACTTGGAACATTTACACATATCTTTTGTAATCATATTTTCTAAAGGGACCGATAACTAAAAACTAATTGCTTATGGTTTAAGGGAGTCAGTGTGTGTGTTGGAAATGAGCGTGTAATGTATACCACATATTTTTACTAATAAAATGATAAAATACAAAATGTTGTATTGATTGTTGATTGCCTTACTGCAACACACTTTGTTGATTTGTTCGGACTGTTACGATATATACCGCACGTGGAGAAGGTAACATTTGGGTTTGATATAATGTGATATATGCAGTAGGGGCGTGGCAGTGCGACATCTTGTAATACAATGTAAATATTAAACCTTACAGTTCGTCAACCAACCTTTAAAATTACTGTGCCTTTGTAGGGCTATAATAGGGATTGCAACTATATATTTTTGTAATTATTTGTCGAATAAGACCATACATAAAAGACAGCACAGCTTGTCAGGGAACTTTAATGTCAATCTCAACCCGATTGTACTCGACGGTGTCACGCAATCTTGTGCCGTAAGGAGATCTGGGATCTAGTTTGTTGTGACAGCAAAGTGGCAGGTGTCGGTATAGATATACTATACTGTTTTAAATGTAAATATATATTACAAATACATAAGTCTATACACTTAGATATGTATGTATGTTGTGTTTTGTAATTTTGTGTCCTTGCTGGCACAAGGCTTATTATGATCAGTATTAGGCCCTTTGGCATACCATCTATCTACGGATACCCAACATTCCCTTTGTATAAGTCCTACAATCTGTAACACATAGCACTAGCTACTTTGAAGAACAATTTCAAATGTATCTAATCGCAAATAAAATGAGAACCCCAACACGTATATGTTTGATTTCATTAAATAATGGTGCATGCCTTACCTCCAAAATTGAACTAATGTTATACGACACTGTCACTTTTGACCGCCAAATTAACATACACGCATATATCCAAATCGACATAACTTTTATCATATTTCGTGCTTGGATAATCTGATACGATAGCGAAGACAATACTATATACATGCGTCCTCGATGTGGATAGATTTAGAATTTATAGGCCTTTGACACACCATACAGTTGTCTGACCACATCGAATGGCTTTATTTGACCCTTCATACTGCCATATGATAATTAACATCTAGTCACATCCGTCAAGGAATTTTTAAAAACACTGAAAAATTATTGTGAAGTTCAAAGAATAATATGATCACAAACCTCTTTTCAGCCCTACAAAGACAAATATATCTTAGAGAATTGTTAACTTGCTCTATGTTCTGAGATAGTATGGAATGGTGTGTATGGGAGCGGTATTAGCGTTATTAGTCTAATAGCAATTTTTTTCAGCAAACGCTCTCATAATCTATTGGTCATATATCTTTAAAATGAAACTAGCACCGGAAAATCCTTGGCAAAAACAGTTTATTTGAATAGCTAACTGTTTTCTTGCCACTTTGCAATGATATGGCGTGATATGGCCATGGCAAAGCGAGCAGAAGCCGCTACGCTTGAAACTGATGTGATCCTTTCAAAAAATAGACCTCCCTCCTACGCTTGTCGCGACCCTTATTGTGACGCATTCATCGGACGGTCTCAAACAAATACTACTGCCACAGCCCTGAAATTTTGCTATTAGGTTTGTGAATCCTTATAGCAACTTTCATATCCACCTTTGTTTGTGTCTCCTTGTATGACGTAAAGTGGCCAATCATGCTTATTAGCCGGGTCACTTCTAATAGCAAGATTCCTCCGTTCACTCTTCCATTCATATGGCATATTGCGTTTGAAATAAATCATATGGCCGTTTCTAGTTAACGTTGGGGGTTTAAACGACATACTGACAGACAATCCTTTTTTCACAACAATGATAAACACACCAACTGCGACTTCGTTTGAACATATGAAAGATAGTGCCCTTTTTTTATTTTGGTGTAGCGATATGCAGTTTATTCCCAAGCTGTTACGCTAGTTTCATCAAAAATCTAAATCTGCACATAAATTGAATTGATAAATATGGTGCTTTGGTTTTTTATGTTAACAATGAGCGTTTATCAGAAATATTTGTCCTTATTAAGGAGTATTTCAATGTAGGATACTTGCCGAAAAGAGGCTACGACTACGGACAGAGAGCCTTTTCATTGTAAGCTGATAATATTCATCTGCGTGCCGCAGGCCGTCGAAGCCAAAGCCTACAGTCGTAATTGAAAGACTGAATGTGTAGACATGACTTCGGAACTGTAGATGTATTCCAATGAAGGTTGTTTTAGTAGAAATTTGAAGAGGGTGTGGTTGGAAGTAAAAAACAGCGGCAGCCACGCCCTGATACCACAATTTTCTCTAATAGCAGTTTAAAATCTCTCCCAGCCGCCCCTGTATGTATGGTATGGTAAAGTAGGGCATAGTATTGCAAAGTGTGGTATGGTGTGGTATGGTATGGTATGGTATGGTATGGTATGGTATGGTATGGTATGGTATGGTATGGTATGGTATGGTATGGTATGGTATGGTATGGTATGGTATGGTATGGTATGGTATGGGTATGGTATGGTATGGCATGGCATGGCATGGGATGGTATGGTATGGCATGGCATGGCATGGCATGGCATGGCATGGCATGGTATGGTATGGTATGGTATGGTATGGTATGGTATGGTTTGGTATGTATGGTATGGTATGGTATGGTATGGTATGGTATGGTATGGTATGGTATGGTATGGTATGGTATGGTATGGTATGGTATGGTATGGTATGGTATGGTATGGTATGGTATGGTATGGTATGGTATGGTATGGTATGGTATGGTATGGTATGGTATGGTATGGTATGGTATTGTATGGCATGGTATCTCTTTTTTGCAATACAAAAACAGGACAAATGTGAGTGTCATAAGTGAAACCCCAAACTAAAAGTCCATTATTTCAATAATGGACTTTTAAAGCGAACAAAGAGCTGTAGAGACACGATGAAACATCAACAAAAACGAAGTGTCTTATTTAAAAAAACATGCTAAAAGCTCTAGCTAACTTCTTAGCAAGTTCACTAAAATTGTATTTCCAGCTAAGATTCTTTTTCATACCAGCTTTCCAGGGCCCGCGCCACGAATTTGAACGTGGAGGGGTGGGGGTGGGGCAAGGCTAAAAATGTAGGGGCAAAGACCTCTTACCCCTTTAATGCAGCTTTAAAACAACTTGCTTTGCAAAATAAGAGGGGGACCATGTCCACCCCGGCCCCCCGGTGGCGCGGGCCCCTGCTTTCTGGTGTTTCCACAAATCACATGGTGAAAGATTTAAGATTGAAAGGTGCTTACATTAACCACATGAAAAAGAAAACATTTTCCGAAACAAACACCATGAATTAAAATTGACATAAAATTGCATAC